GTGGGAGCAGACACCACACAGAGGCTCCTCAGGAGACCTGCAGGTCGAGACCTGCTCCCCCACTCTAATGCAACAGCAACAGCCCCTCGAGGGTCACAGGGCAGCTCCTCAGAACCAGCACCCGCCACCTGCCCAAGAGGTGGGGTTTGACCGCACGCAAGAAACCAAAAGCGCCTCCACCCTCAATTGTCAATATCATCTGTAAGCATAGTTTAGGGAGTTTAAATGGATGTTCAAAAAAGTTACATAAAAAGAACCAAATTTCAGGACATATGCCTGCCCTCCCTTTGAGGGCTGGGGTGGACAAAGGACAGTCAGGCCCCATCACGCACTGGCTCCCACACTACAGTGAGAAGTGTCACCCACTGGCTGGTGGGGCTCCCACAGTCAACTAATTCTCAGCCCCCCAAGAACTCGTCAATCAGAAACAAACTTAAATACATGTATCAATGCACCTTTAGTGAAAGACAATCATGTTTACATGGTAGAGCGTAACTCCTACAAACAGAAAAGGAGCCCATGTCAAAGATTTAACTCATTAGTTAATGAGAGAACCAATAAGATTAAAAACCCAGTTCAAGAGGACCCAAAGAGCAGACATGGATACAGGCCATGAGGAAGGAAGACAGGAGTTGTAAATGGGCTCGTCTCACAGGGACCCTGCGGTGGGGTGAGAGAGGATGTCAACTTCACCTCTGAGGGACAAAATCTACTTGCATCTCAGGGACTAGAAACATGTGCGTTACTATCAGTTTTCTAGAATTCAAGCTGTCAGTACAGTTTGGAAGATGGTGACAGGTGCAGACACGGTTGATCACATCCCGGGAGCGCTACGCTAAAGGCGGCCTGGCCCTCCACAGGATGCCCGGGGAATCCTTTTTCGTGGCTTCAAAGCCTCAGTTTTTACCTAACATCTAAAAGCCTCTCCAGCCTGGGTGACACAGCAACATCCTGTCTCAAACAAGAAAAAGATCTTAGCCAGCCACAGGGACCCTTGAGAAGCTCGCCCGGTGTCCCTGGCAGTATCTCACGAGGCTGCTGGTTCCCAAACACCTGAGGAGGCTCTGGCAGCCCCTGGCACCTCACAAGGGTGAGCCTTACCCAAGCGCTGAGATCCTGGAAAGCAATTGTGAAACCCCCCACCCTGCAGTGTGCTGGGAGAGCCTTCCGCCGAGAACCACCCTCCCCATACGAGCCAGAGATCACAAATGTCCCCATGTCCCCTTGTTTACCTACAACAAGGCCCTCTAAATTCCCTTTCTCTGCCCAGAAAACACTGGCCAGAAATTCTCCTCATGATCAACTGGAACACAATTCCCTTATCTGGACCTTTTTTTTTTTTTTTTTTTTTTTTTTTTTTTTTTTGAGACAGTGTCTTGCTGTGTCGCCCAGGCTGAAGTGCAGTGGCACTATCTTGGCTCACTGCAACCGCCTCTTCCCGGTTCAAGTGATTCTCCTGCTTCAGCCTCCCGAGTAGCTGGGATACAGGCACACACCACCACACCGGACTACTTTTTGTATTTTTATTTTTATTTATTTATTTTTTTTGAGACAGAGTCTCGCTTGGTCACCCAGGCTGGAGTGCAGCGGCACAATCTCAGCTTACTACAACCTCTGCTTCCTGGGTTCAAGTGATTCTCCTGCTTCAGTCTCCCGAGTAGCTGGGATACAGGCACACACCACCACACCGGACTACTTTTTGTATTTTTATTTTTATTTATTTATTTTTTTAGAGACAGTCTCGCTTGGTCACCCAGGCTGGAGTGCAGCGGCACAATCTCAGCTTACTGCAACCTCTTTCCTGGGTTCAAGTGATTCTCCTGCTTCAGCCTCCCGAGTAGCTGGAATTATAGGCACACACCATCACGCCCACCTAATTTTTATATTCTGGCCTCAGCTCTCTGATCTGCTGGAGGTCCTGACCCTCCACTGGCCCATCCCACCTCCCCAGCTTGATTCTTTCTAGCCTTGGCCACTCCTTCCTGCAAAAGAAAAGCCCTGTCTGGCCTGGCCTGTGAGACCCTCACAGAACTCAGGGTCCCCTGTTCTCCCTGCTGCACAGCCCCAGAGGCCTCTAGCAACAGTCCTCACTTCAGATCTCTCCTCATCCGAGTCCAGGCTCGTGATCAGACACGCACATGCTCTCTCCTCCCTGGTTCTGAATCTAGAGTATCCATCAAGGTGTCGACCTGCCAGCATGGAGCTGCGGTCACTGCTTCTGCCAGCGCCACGGATGGGAGGTGGGAGGGGTGCACAGCGGCAACGATTTTAAGGATAAAACTCAGGATCTTAGCTGCTTATGACAAGCCCAGATGGCTGCACGCCCGGACCGCCCACCCCCAAGCCCACTGCCTTGCGTCAGTGTCGGATATTTGATGGCAGAGTCAGACAAGCCCCAGAGATCATCTGAGGCTTCCTTCACACCCCCAAAGCACCTCTATCCAAACTGGTGTCGCACGAAGCTTTACACACCGCCTCTGCCTCCCTGCCCACAGGTTCTTGAGGAGGCACAGACTGGAGAAACGATTCTCACTGGTTCTGCATCAGAGCTCCTTGAGAATCTGAGAGCTGCAGGCCACCTCTCTGAGAAAGGCACACATTCCCCAGGGGGGTTTGCAGCATTTTAAAGGGATAACCCTCATGGGCCCAAACTGATAAACCAGCCCAGGTCAGGCACCTGGTATTCCGGAGCTGAGCAATGGGCTGGACTCAGACTCCCCTGGCTAAGGACAGAGCCGGAATGAAAATGGATCAACACGTTTACAGATATGACGATGATGCCAATTGGCACACGGCACCAAGCCAAGGACAATGTTACCCACCTGCCAAGTTCTACCAAATTCTCCTCTCCCCGTGACGAACCACAACAAATCAACCTATTTCCCACAACGAGTTATCTGCACATTTGAGTCACCTCCTGACAATCACCTTAGCAGCCCCAAGCACACAGCCAGCACAGCGTGGCTCAGTGTCCCCTTCAGCACCGCCACATGCCTGCCAGGCGACTGTTACAGTAGTGTCCCCTCGAGCTATTGCAACTAAAGCTGGACTTTATTCCAAATCTTCCAGCCCTCACTGCCCCGTTCTAAGTTCCTCCAGAACACTGTCTTTGGTCACTTCTGGCCTGTAAGACCATGCTCCAATAAAATTCACAACACAAAACTCAAAGACAAAGTCCATCTTCACTAGAATGGTTTCTCTGTCCCCCAAGCCCGCCCAATGCTAGGACCTTTTTCAGCTGCTCAGATCCCAATTAATCATCCAAACATGGTGGGGGGCAATGGAGAGGCATCCTGCCACCACGTCAACATGGGAAGGAATCTTCTTTTCCACGAGGGGTACCACCTTGACTCAAGTGTTTCAACTCCACTCGGTCGGAAGTCACCGCGGGACTTCCACAGTGCCTCAGCAGAGGTCACAAAGAAAGGTGGGGGAAAATGCTAAACAATTCAGCTGATACCAAAAGGGCTCTGGAAGAGAGAATGAAGGAGGGGAACACAGTGGTTAACTAAAAAACAGAACTGTACGATCAGTGCATGTGTACAGTAGGGAGAAAGAAATTGTGCTTTGCTGGAAACTTCTGCCTCGTCTGGGCCACACTTTCTCACATGCTCCATATGGTTCATACAGATGTGGAGTATTTCTGTGCTATTAAGAGTTCATTACACCATAAATACATACAATTTTCACTTGTCAACTTAAAAGTAAAATTTTAAAAATATGTCATAGGCGGATGATTAGGGGGAAAGTGTCTAAAAAGACTCCTTAGGGTGGCGATACTGGGGAGAGAGGTGAGCAGCACTGGTCTCAACTCTTCAGGACACGCTTGCATACACTGTAGATGCTGAGACACTTCCTGTCCCCGAGGCTCTGTGGCCACCCACCCCCCACCAGGCCTCCGACCAAGCTTCAATGAACGCAGTCAATTAGTGCTACTTTGACTTCTTGAACTAGTTCCAACGTCTGCTTAGTTCTCTCACTGAGGGAATTAAACGAATCTGTAACATGTGTTAAGCATGAAAGTCATATTACAAAAATTATCTTTCTCCCCCAATTTTTTTTTATCGTGGTTAAAATCCACAGAACAGAAACTGGACACACCTGTTAGCGCACAGGCAGTGGGATTAAATGCACTCAGGGCCTTCCTAGCTGGCCAGTGGGCTGGTGTGAGGCAAAGGCACCTCCGATCAGGTCACAGGGAACCCGCGGGAGGCCCAGGGGACCGCCTGGCTCAGGGACCCCCCACCCCCGCTCCAATTGCTGCAGGAGTGGCCTGGGCAACTCCCGCCGTGTCTAGGCCTAAGGGAAACGCGTGCAGATCTGCGGTCTCCTTCAAACTGTCCAGTGGGCGACTGCGATCTCGCTTCCGAGGTGGAGGGTGGTGTAGACGAAAGGGAAGTGGGGGCAGCCAGGCCCGCAGAGTGGGTCCTGGCCCTCCTCCCGGCCCGGCTTCTGAGCAGGAGATGGCTTCGGAACCCGCCGCCCGCCCGAGGCACCGACGCCTCCCCCGATTCCAGGGCGGGACCCCTGCGGGGCCCCCGGCTCCAGCGCTTCGGCGGACAGCACGCACCCTCCCTGCCGAGCCTGCGAGGAACACGCGCCGCCTTCCACTTTCTCGGGAGCGAGCCCCGGCTCTCCGGACGCAGTCCACACGCGCCAGCCCAGCACGAACCGGCCTCGGGCAGGGCCGCACCCACGCCCGGGGCCAGCCCGCGCCCCGCACCCCGCCTCCCGGCGCCCGCCCTGGGCAGGTGCAGGGCCTCCTGCCCTCCCGGGACCCCCGCACCTGGACCCCGCGCGCCTCCCGCCCTCCCCGCGGACGCAGGAGCCTGAGGCGGCGGCCCGGGGACGCGGCCAACCTGGGGGAGAGTGGGGCGGGGGCCGGCTGGGGAAGGGGCCGCCCGGAGGCGGAGGGGGCGCCGCAGGAGCCCGGAAGCCCGCTGGCTGGGCCGGGGCGGCGGGGCGGGTCGGAGGCGCGGGCCAGGGCGACGACCACCCACCTCCTTGTCCGGGACCCACTGCGGCTCCTCCAGGCCGAACGGGCTTCCGAAGGCGCGGTGCTCGGGCACCATGCGCAGGCCGCTAGGGGAGCGCACCAGCTTCTTGGCGTCGCGGCGCGCGGACACCTCGGAGGACATGACGCCGCTTCAGTCTCTCGGCCCGCGGCCCCGCACCCGGCCCCTAGCCCAGCCCGGGGCACCGCCCGCCCCGCCCCGGTCCGCGCGCGGCTGACAGCACCGGCGTCCAATCGCCAAGCCCGCCACGGAACGCGGACTAATCGGAGCTCGAACTCCGCCCCATCGCGGCCCTCTCCAATCCGCGTAAGGGCACCGCCCCTGCCCCCCTGTGGTCAGTCACCAATCGGCGGCGAGGGCTGTCCCGGATGCGCTCCGCCCTTCCCAGAAAGATTGAGACTTTGGATTGGTTGGTTCGTCAGCCACGTCGGCGTCGTTTCGCCTCTGATTGGTGTAGCCCTATCAGGGCGCTCGGCGCCTATTGGAGGAAGCCGAGAGGGGCAGGACGGCGCGAAGAGGACTGCAGAGCCAGCGGTAGGTGAGACCCGCGGAACCCGGCTGCGGTGCCAGGCGGCGGCGGGGTCGGAGGTCGTGGGCGGCCGCGGACGTGAGGGGTGTGGCAGGGTCGAGGGGCGGGGGCGGCCGCGGGTCTCCATTGCCGGAGCCGGTGGGAGCAGGATGGCCTGGGGCTGCAGCTCTCACCCTGGGTGCCCCGCCACAGCTCGGGTCGCGTTCAGGCGCCTTCCCGGGGCAGGGCCGCGTGCGCTCAGAGCAGGGAAGGCGGGCTCCGGGGACCCCGGTGTGCGCGGGCAGGTGTCTGCTCAGGGGAGGCCGAGGTGGGCCCGCGGCTGCGTCCCCGGCCTTCGATGCCTTCGTTCGTCCGCCTGGGACTGCGCTGGCCTGGCATCGAAGTGGGAGAGATCTGAACAGTTATTTTAATGCTTTGATTTGGAAAGAAAATTTTTAGGCCGGGCGTGGTGGCTCACGCCTGTAATCCCAGCACTTTGGGAGGCTGAGGCGGGTGAATCACGAGGTCAGGAGTTCAAGACCAGCCTGGCCAACATGGTGAAACCCCGTCTCTACTAAAAATACAAAAAATTAGCTGGCCGTGATGGCACGTACCTGTAATCCCAGCTGCTTGGGAGACTGAGACAGGAGAATTGCTTGAACCGGGACCCGGGAGGCGGAGGTTGCAGTGAGCCAAGACCACATTACTGCACTCCAGCCTGGTCTACAGAGACCCGTTCTCAAAAAGCCAAAAAAAAAAAAAAAGAAAAAAAGAAAATGTTTATTCATCCTGCCTTTAATTCCTCATTACAAGGCATGAATTTTTATTGTTTTTTTTGAAATAGTCTCGCTGTGTCGCCCGGGCTGGAGTGCAGTGGCGCCATCACGGCTCAGTGCAGCCTCCACCTCCCGGGCTCTCAAGTAGCTGGGACCGCAAGCACCACCACGGCACCCGGCTGTTTTTCTTTTTCTTTCTCTCTCTTTTTTTTTTTTTTTTTTTTTTTGGTAGAGAATAGGTCTTACTGTGTTGCCCAGGCTGGTCTTGAACTCGCGGGCTCAAGTGACCCACCGTGTTGAAGCCTGTGAGGTGGGGGTCCGTGTGGCTGGCTCTGCCCTCTCCTGTGGGCATTGGCGCTGCAGGGGTCCTTGTGTGTGGAGGAAATAAGGAGAGGACCAAAGTATGATTCCACGAATCACACGGTTTATTGTCAAAGAGAATTTGTTCTTGGGTTCACAGTGCTCAGAGGAGAAGAGAGGGGAGGAGGTGAAGACGCCTGGCGGGGAAGCAGGGCCTCCATGGATGGGGTGCATTTGCCGCAGGGAGGCGAGTGCCAGAATGGCCAAAGTCGTTGCTCCGGGGATGGAGCAGGCCCCTGGAAAATGAGATCTGGTTAGAGTTCGCAGTGTGCCTTAATAGCAGTGGAGAGTGTGGGAGCGGGAGCTCTCTGAGAGGCTGGGACCAAGGACCAGCTCCCAGGCCAGCAGGGTATAGCTTGTCTCAAAGCATCTGCCCAACCTTCAAGTTGATTTGTATTTTTGCAGCCCAGCAATCAAGGTCAGTAACTCACAGAGCTAGGCGAGGCCACATCTCCTTTGGCAGTGTAGTGCCTTTCCTGGAGGTGGCATTCCTTTTTGATTTGCCTTCTGTGCCGGGGAACTTCACTTCCTCACTCTGGCCAGCCAGCAGTTTGGAGCTGGTTTCAGCGCCCCACCGCCCTGCCTTGGCCTGCACCCTGCCCCCCAAGGTGGCTTCTCGCCAGTTCCTGTCAGGCCTGCCTGGGCAACCAGGCCTGGGCACCTCCCTGTCCCTTGCTCAGAAAATCCACAGGCTGTGGGGCCCCGGGAGCCTGGTGCGCGGGCAGGAAACGAATCCTGGAGCACCAGCTTCCCTGCCCTGCCCGCCTCACGGGGTGCCTGGGGGCGTGCCTCAGCCTGCGGCTCCTGCAGTCTGTTTTCCACGCCTGGCCCTGAGCAGGCTGAGCATGGGCATGGAGTGACCAGCGTAATTGCATCCAGGCCAGTGCCACATTCTGTGTGGTCCAAGGGAAAGCCTTCTCCAAGTCCGTGGCCTGCCCTTTCCTCTGCTGGGTTACTGCCAAGGGCACTGGGCCTCACTGCAGGACATGGCCCTCGAGGCTGCTGCCTTCTGGTTTCCTGGTGCCCTGGACACTCTTGGTCTCCCCATTTGGGAAGCCGACAGAGGATGTAGAGTGGCCTGTTGGAAAGGCCTTATGTGATCCTGGGCTGAATCCCTGAGCAGCCCGCCGAGGCCGGAGGGGAGAAGAGCTGAGCTTCTCCCTCTCTGGGCCGGGCTCGGGCTGTGGAAGGGCTGCCAGCTCCCTTCCTGGGAGAGGCTGGGTGGGGTCCACAGTGGTCGTCCTGGAAGGAAGCTGCCTTCTGCTGTTGGCTGCTGAGACAGCTGGAGGCCACCGATGTTCGGATTCCCTGAGCACTCTGCCAATCCCAGACCCACCTTCCCACTCTTTCCAGAATCCCCAGGGAGACACTTAAAGGAAATTAAACTGCAGAGTGCAAGAGATGCTTCAGTCAAGTCAGCCAGGAACGCGTGGGTCATCCCTGAGCCCCAGAGCGGTGAGTCGGGCGGGGCCCTCACCTGCCGCAGGAGGATGGCCTTATTTCTAGCACTTCCCACAGGGAGTGAATGTGGTGGGTTTGGGGGATTTTTCAAATGCATCAGTGTCTGGAATGGGTTCTAAGCTGCTAAATCATTCTAATTCTTAGAGGTAAATTACAGACATGTTGCCCCAGATAGAGCTCGACAGCTTTCCCTGTACAGTGAAGTATCTTCCACCCGCAGTGACAGAGCCCGGATGACACGGACACGGTGGCTGCTGTCACTTCCGCGGTGCGTGCCTTTGACAGGCTTTGAATTGAAGGCAAGTGCTTCAGAATTTGCATCCATCGTTCTGTCTTTCCTGGGAAGTTATTCATCCTGGTGGGCAGCCCACCGACAGAATGGATTTAGATCTACTGGACCTGAATCCCAGAATTATTGCTGCAATTAAGAAAGGTACATTTATTTCTGTTTACATAAGGGGTGTGGGTGGGTCTGTGCACTTTACATAAGGCAGGTTAACAAAATGCTGGCTGGCTAAGCCTTCCTCCCTTTGCCTACCCTGATTATTACACGAGGGTAGGATGTACTGTGGGGTTTTCAGGTGTGTGTGTGTGTGTTCTTAACTGCATGGATTTCTTTCAGTTATTTTTATTTTTATCAGAGTAATACGTGCATATTGTCTAAAAGGTAAAATGGAGCCACATAAAGTCTTTTAGTGTTTTGTTTTTTGTTTTGTTTTGTTTTGTTTTTGAGACGGAGTCTTGCTCTGTTGCCCAGGCTGGAGTGCGGTGGCGTGATCTTGGCTCACTGCAAGCTCCACCTCCCGGGTTCACGCCATTCTCCTGCCTCAGCCTCCCGAGTAGCTGGGACTACAGGTGCCCACCACCATGCCCGGCTAGTTTTTTGTATTTTTAATAGAGACGGGGTTTCACTGTGTTAGCCAGGATGGTCGCTATCTCCTGACCTTGTGATACGCCCACGTCAGCCTCCCAAAGTGCTGGGATTACAAGCGTGAGCCGCTGCGCCCAGCCATTTTTTTGTTGTTTTTTTAAAAAATATTTACATCTGGGCTCCTAATGTGTTTACGTTGTAAGGTTTGATTTGTCAGTGTTATTGATTATCCATGGACTTCCTATTGGGGGCGGTGAGGACTGAGTGTGCCTACACCTGTGTACCCCAACTCCCTCTTCCCCCAGCTCCCTGCCCATAGTTAGAACCTAGTTTGGGTGACATCAGCTGTTGGGGTTGTGACTGGTGCATACCTGGTGTGGTTCAACAATGTGGGGTGTGGGGGATCGTTTTCTTTCTTACAGCATCTTTTTTCCACGGAGTTAGCAAATGCTCAAAGCTTAGGCCCCACGTGCAGCCCCTGCCCCTGCTCTCCATGCCTGCAGCCCAGCTGTCGTCTGGGGACCCTCCTTCCATCTTCCATCCTCCCCCATCTCCCAGGGCCTCAGCTACGTGAACCTCAGCACACCATCTGTGGCGAGAAGCAGGAGTGCTCGTGGAGCTGCTACAGCAACCTGGTGACTGGGCAGGGCCTCACTGTCCTGCCCTTCCATCCTTGGCTGTTGGTTTTTATCCTCCTGTTGGTGGCCTTGTGATCACGGCTGCTGCCACAGCTGCAGACACGACGCTTGCAGACCAGGGACAGAGAAGGGGAATGGGCTCAGCCAGGGAGTTCCTTTCTCACCTGTGTCTCTTATCCAAAAACCAATGTTTCCAGAAGTCCCTGCAGACTTCGAAACTGTGAAAGGGGCTGGGGCCGTGAGACTTATCAGGGGAGCCGCCCCACCAGAGCCCCGATCCTGGCGAATCCTCAGGGCCCACAGAGCCCTCTGGAGCAGCCTGTCCACGGGAAGCCCTCTCTGCTGGATCTGGTGAAACCCAGGGGCGCTTTCTTCATCCCCACCTCTCCATCTCCTTGTGTTTTCTGTGTGGCTTTTCTGAAGATCCCACCAGTGGTTACTGTTTTCCAGCCTGACAATGGTTGTCTTTTCACTGCAGCGTTCGGCGCACCCATGTTGAGGGGGGTTCTGATGTAGCGGGTGTAAGTCTCCGTGGCCGGGCGGGGCCTTCATCCACCACTGCTCCCTCTCGTGTGCGCTTCCTCGAACTTCCCTGATGGGCTGATCAGTCTGCAGCATTTGTCGTCTTTCTCCGAATTTGAAAGTAGAAAGTGATGCACTTATCTGAGTTCAAAATGAACTTTGCCCTCCTCCCCACATGGCAGGTCCTGGGGCTCTGCACCTCTGTAACTGACGCCGCCACCGTTCTGATTCGCACGTGCTCTGCCCCCTGCCCTGACTGCCCTGCACAGCCAGTGTTTGGACTTGGACTCTGCTTGCCTCCCAGCGCTCCACTCCCCAGGGCACGTGTCCTTGCCTGTGGCTCAGCCCGGCTCCGGGCCTGGCGGGCGGGTGCTGGAAACCTCGGTGTTGGTTTTTTGCTGCCCCTTTCTGGAGCACTGTCTCCAGCTGGCGTGGAACTGGGTGCCTGTCGTTTCTTCTTAGCACCTGGGACCTGCCCGACCCCGTCTTCTGGCTTCTGCCCCTCACATGAGGCTGGTGTCTGCCTGAGTGCCAAGACTCAGGGCGCAGTGCCCAGCGGCCCTTTCCCCTTGCCCGTGTGTCGGCCACACTCTGTCCAGGGTTTCCAGGGAGCAGGGGATCTGGTCCCTACCCACCTTGTCCCCAGAATTGGAAGCATGGTGGTCTCACAGTGCTCTTATAAAGCACCTTTTGTTGCTGTGTCACCCTGCATTATTACAGTCTGACAGTTTCCTGTGATTTATCTGTGTCATTTCAGCCAAACTGAAATCAGTAAAGGAGGTTTTACACTTTTCTGGACCGGACTTGAAGAGACTGACCAACCTCTCCAGCCCCGAGGTCTGGCACTTGCTGAGAACGGCCTCCTTACACCTGCGGGGAAGCAGCATCCTTACAGGTAGGTGGGTCCTGGCATCTCCCACCGGGGGTGACATGTGGCTCCAGCATCATGATCCCTGTGGTGCAGGGCATAGGGCTGTGCAGACTGCACCCAGGGACCAGCCTCAGGGCATGTGGCAGCTGCTCACGCCCCAGAGTTCCCATCTTGCTTGTCCTACAACCATGGGGCTATGGTCACAGCGTTGGGTCAGAAGATGTGTGAGGTGGACACAGAGGGGCTGTGAGGCCTCCTGGGGATCTTGCTCTGTGGGCCAGAGGAGGGGGTGCAGGAAGCAGGGGTGAAATTGGCAGTCAGCACCCAGAGCCCTTCAGGCTCTGGCAGGGTGGGAACGGTGTGAGATGCGGCCCTGGCCACGTGTGGGAAACCAGGTCTTGGCAGCAGAGGGAGGTACCCAGTGAACCCCATGCGCCTGGACGGACAAAGTTTCCATCCTTGCATCTGATCAGGCCCCAGTGGGCAGCGGGGTCCGGGCATGAGCAGGGTCCTCCCTCCCCTGCAGGTGGCTCAGTGACCCGGGCCCCGAGGAGCATGCTGAACTTGGGGCTGCCGTGGTGGGCAGGTGCCACGGCCGCACACACAGTGCCGTGGGCAGAGCTCTGGGCAGTCCTCACAGGGTGGCCTGCTCCACCTGACCGGGATGCCCAAGGCAGTGTGCGGACTCGAGGGACGGGCTGCTCCTCCCGGCCCAGGCCCCAGGCCAAGAGCGCAGCCTGCACTACGTGTCCCACCTTGAGCCTCCCCCTGAGGGGCTTCGGTGTCGTGGAGAAGCCTGTGTCGAATGGCTCGTCCAAGGCCCTTTAGCCAAGAGGCTGTGACCAGCATTGCTCTAGAATGGTGTCCGTCACAGAGCACTGACAGCATGGGGCATGCACGTGTGTGCGCGTGCGGGAGCCCATTAAAGCTGCTTCAGAACTGTTCAGTACCCAGGGCGTCCCAGCTGGACGGAGCTGTGCCTTTTTCTGCACACGGAGGCTGTTAGGGAGCACCTGGGGGCTCTCTGGAAGCTTTGGCTGAAGGCATCTGGTGCCGCAGTCGCCCCATAGGGGGATCCCTGGGGGCATGAGATGGTGGCCCTGGGGCTCCCCCTGACTCTGCGTCTCAGGTGAACCCGCCCTTTCTGGCCGGGTCACCCCTCCCTGCTCTCAGCACCTTGCTCACCCCTGGTGACCACAGGCACCATTGCTCCAGCCACACTGCGCCTGGCATAGGCAGGCTGGCCGTGCCTCCCACAGTCCCCAGCTCTGCCCGCAGGCCCAGGAGAGCCAGGCCTGACACCATCATGCTTGCCCTGCAGCGCTGCACCTGCACCAGCAGAAGGAGCGGTTCCCGGCCCAGCACCAGCGCCTGAGCCTCGGCTGCCCGGTGCTGGACTCGCTCCTCCGCGGTGGCCTGCCTCTGGACGGCATCACCGAGCTGGCCGGACGCAGCTCGGTGGGGAAGACCCAGCTGGCGCTGCAGCTCTGCCTGGCTGTGCAGTTTCCGCGGCAGCACGGAGGCCTGGAGGCTGGTGAGTGGCCATGCCTTCCATGGGGTCTGGGCAGGTGGGCGGCCCCTGCTGTGTTTGGGACAGCTTTCCGTTGAGGTGGGGGAGTGGCCGCCTCTTGCACCATTCCTACCATTGTGTCTCCCTCCTCCTTCTGGTCCTGACTGCCCTCGCTCCTTCCAGAACAGGGAGGGGAAGTGAGGCTGGGCTCAGCTGACAGCAGGAGGGGTGGGAGGGTACAAACCCCACCACCAGGCAGCCTGCCCTGCATCCTGCCCTCAGCAGAGCTAGGCCAGGGGTCGCTGGCTGAGCACAGCGATGCCGGCCCAGGTTCCACACAGCTGCCAAGCCGGAGTCCACAGAGCCAGCGGCACAGGGAGGGCAGCACGGCCTTTCTCCTGGGTGCCCCGCCGCCAGGCCAGGTATGCTCCTGGCACGTCCCCGTGAGCCTGTATAGCTCTGTCTGTGAAACAAGGGTTCCCTGCATTGCTGAAGCATTCAGAGCGTGCCTGCTTGGATCTCTCAGGTGTTAAAAGCTCATGCCGTTTTAAACTGAGCTGTGAGTACGAGAGATGTTTCTTAGTAGCTCCTTAACTTTTAACCCAGTTCCCTGGTGTCAACGTGCGATTCCCACACTGTCTTAAACTCCACGTGAACACAGAGTGGCAGCATTTTTCATTGGTGGCGCCTTGGAGTGCACCTGCTAGGCTCACTTCCCACACAGGGCGGGACCCCAGGCCCTGGACCCACAGGCTGCGCCAGCCACCTCCTCACAGGCCTGACCTGCCAGCGGCAGTGTGGCTGGGAACCTCACCTCTGCCACCCTCAGGTCAGTGTCATCCCCGGGACCAAGGCTGTGCTGTGCCTGCCTGAGCCTCCGTGCTGGGTGGAGGGTGAGGGGTCTCTGACAGCCCGGCTGGGGTCTGCTCATACCACAGGCGTTTTTGTCCCTGCAGTCCAGGGGAGGACACCCTCCTGTCAGGTGCCTGAGTCCCTGCAGCTGGTCTCGGGTGAGCCTGGAGACAGCCACAAGCCAGGAGGATAGGAGTTGGCCTTGAAAATGGGAGTCTCCCGCTTACCCCATGGAAGAGCTGCTGTGAGGTGGAGGTGGGACTCGAGCGTGCTCAGAACAGGACAGGAAACGCCCTCATTCTCCAGCATCCTCCGTGCCAGGCTTCATGCAAATCTGATTTGTGCAGTGACTCCCCCTGAGCTTCCACCCCGTTGGCCTTTTCAGTGAAGCCCACACTCCCCGCTACCCAGGGACACGGAAGCCTTAGGACACCCTCCCCGAATCCCCCGGGCGGTGCCCAGCCCAGGGACTGCTGTGGGAAGAGAGCACAGTCCAGCCTTGCAGGCCGGGGGCAGGGAGGAGGCCCCGCGTGACCATGTGCAAGGTCAGGGCTCAGATGTGCTTTTCTGGGGAAATGACTTCTTTTCCTAGATCCAATCTGAAGACCCTAATTTTGAAAAGAAAGTGGCAGGCAGGCTGTGGAGTGATTCTGAGTCCTGTGCTTAAGCTGCATGAGGCTCTCCCAGGCCTGCTGGGGCCCTGCCCACTGCTGGGCTGCCCACAGCGACCCTCCTGCCAGCTTCACAATGTCCCCATGGCTGTGCAGCTCCCAATACATGACCCCAACAAAAACAGGCTGCCTGGCCGGCTCCACCTGCTTCCGAGCCTTCCAGCCCAGCCTCTCTCCAGCCAACAGGATGGAGGAACCCTGGGGCCCCGACTTTCCTGTGGCCTCCTGACTAGGGGCACAGCCACGGCTAGGGACACTGGTGGGGAAGGGAACCAGCCACAAGAGACGTGGCCTCCCAAGGCAGTATTTGTACCCTCCCTGGCCCCAAGTGGGCCAGATGCCTCTCAGAAGCTTAGTTCTGACACAGAATGGGGCGGGGGTTCCTGGGTGTCTACCTGGGAGTGTGGCCGCTGGGCCATGTGGTTTGTGTGTAACTCTTGAAGGAAGTGCCAGTTGTTTTCCGTGTGTAACTTTTTGAGAAAGTGCCGGTTGTCTTCCGAGCTGCACCACTTTGCATTCCTAGCAGCAGCGCACAGGGGTCGGGTCCGCCTTCTCCATATCCTCGCCAACACGTGTCTTTCAAGCCGGCTGTTTGAACTGCAGAAGTTTTGAAAGTGGGAGAGGAAACACTGCTCAGTGGGGGCCTTGAGTGTGGCCATGTGTCGGGGCTCGGGGCCATTTCCAGAAGGCGTTGCCCTGATGCTGCCACTTGCTTCCTGCCCCGCAGAGGGGGGACGGAGGGGCACGGGGGGAAGGAGGGGCGGGGTGGGGCAGAGAGGCCTCCCATCTGTGGCCATTCCAGCCCAGGGCCCAGGAAGGGGAAGTCCTTGCCTGGGTGTCGGAAGTGGAGGCCCAGCCCGTATTTCCTCCTGAGGGTCACCTGGTCCTGAGGTGGCTGCCAGTGGAGGGTGAGAAACCAACACCAGCCTCTTCCCTCCCCGGGCAGGGACAAAGAACCTGCACAGGGGCAGAGTTTAGAAATGGTGGGAGACGTCTGCGCTTGATTTGTGTGGCAGTCACAGGCCCGTCTGGAGTCCCCTGGGCACATCAGGCACTCTCACTTCCCAGGAGCCATCTACATCTGCACGGAAGACGCCTTCCCACACAAGCGCCTGCAGCAGCTTATGGCCCAGCAGCCGCGGCTGCGCACTGACGTTCCTGGAGAGCTGCTTCAGAAGCTCCGATTTGGCAGCCAGATCTTCATCGAGCATGTGGCCGATGTGGTGAGTGTGGGAGAAGCCGCGTGACACCCCTAAGGCAAGCTGTTCAGGACCACTGGGGCAGGTAACCACCACGGCAGTGAGGTCTCACAGCGGGGCAGGGAGAGATGGGGTTCAGCTCTGAACTCAGCATGGGTCATGGGGGTTTACGCCCGAGGAGCAGGTGGGGTCAGAGGATGGAGAGTGACTGAGAGGAACTGGCAGGGGAGGGGGCTCTGACTGAAGCGTCTTGCCAGGACCCTTGCTGAAGGTGGGCCATGGGGATCAGACTGCCCCTGGGGACGGTGGAGGATGGACCAGTCAGCTACTGAGGGCGACTGGATGTGGAGGGCAGGGGTCCTGCTACCATCTCAGTAGGGATTGCCAAAACTGGGTTTCACGAGGACGTGCACAGATGGGCCTAGGAGGAGGCTCAGGAGCCTGACGGCAGTTTGGCCAAACAAAATCCTGGCCAGGAGTGGCTGTGGGCCAGGCAGGCAAGGCGGCAGGCTGCGACATCCAGTTACGTCTGAATCTTAGGCAGCTTTGAAGCGTGTTCTAGAATGAGGATGCCCATATTCAGATCACCTTTCTTCATGATCTGAAACTCAGATGTAACTGGGTGCCTGTACACCATCTGTCAACCCTGCCCATGAAGATGGAGTGGGGAAGAGAAGTCCCAGGCGGGTGGCAAGGGCCTCCTCTGGGCTGTGGAGCCCTGACCAGCTGCCCTAGGAGACCACCGCCCTGAGAAGGGTGGGACCTGCTCTCCAGGCTGCCGCCCTGGTGAGAGAGCTGTGTTGGTTTCACCCTTGCCTCTGAGGGGAAGACGGCCCTCACTGGAGGCACAGGGGCTCCACCTGGCCAAGGCCTGCCGGGCCTCCAGCTCACACAGGCGACCTTAGATCCTTGACCACTGCCTGGCTGCTGGCTTCCCTGCAGACACTGGCTGGGCTTGGAGGAGGGACCCATGGCAGGGCCTTCCAGAGAGCAGGGGCCACTCACGGGGGGCCAGTGGAGTCCGTCCTGCAGCCAGGAAGCAGGCGTAAGAGGCTGGGACGCATCCCTGCAGCTGGGGTAGCAGTGCTGTGAGCTGTCAGCACTTAGTTTACAGAGATCATCCCAGGAGAGAGAAGTGATGAAGTAGAAAAGATGCAGAAGGCCGGGCGCGGTGACTCAAGCCTGTAATCCCAGCACTTTGGGAGGCCGAGACGGGCGGATCACGAGGTCAGGAGATCGAGACCATCCTGGCTAACACGGTGAAACCCCGTCTCTACTAAAAAATACAAAAAACTAGCCGGGCGAGGTGGCGGGCGCCTGTAGTCCCAGCTACTCGGGAGGCTGAGGCAGGAGAATGGTCTAAACCCGGGAGGCGGGGCTTGCAGTGAGCTGAGATCCGGCCACTGCACCCCAGCCTGGGCGACAGAGCAAGACTCTGTCTCAAAAAAAAAAAAAGAAAAGATGCAGAAGAAAAGATGGGAAGTTTGGGAGTAAACCCCTGACCAAAGGCAAATAAGGAAATTCCGCCCTGTGCAGGGGGAGCGGCTGCCATGTCCAGCCCACCCTAGGCGTGGCTGTGGTCTGGCAGAGCCGGTGGGCCTTCTCCCACTTCTTTTTTTTATTATTTATTTGAGATGGAGTCTCGCTGTGTCGCCCAGGCTGGAGTGCAGTGGCGCGACCTTGGCTCACTTCAAGCTCTGCCTCCCGGGTTCACGCCATTCTCCTGCCTCAGCCTCCCAAGCAGCTGGGACTACAGGCGCCCGCCACCACGCCCGGCTCATTTTTTGTATCTTTAGTAGAGATGGGTTTCACCGTGTTGGCCAGGATGGTCTCGATCTCCTGACCTCGTGATCCGCCCACCTCAGCCTCCCAAAGTGCTGGGATTACAGGCGTGAGCCACCGCGCTCGTCTGGCCTTCCCCCATTTCTGAGTTCTTATAGAAAAAACTTTGAAGTAAAGCATAAGGCATATAAACGTTTAATTTTAAAAATGTACAATAAATACATTATCGCACACAACATGAGGAAGTTACACATGGGAAGGGAGCCGTGGGCCCAGCTCATGCCCCAGGCCTCCTGGGAGAGGCCACGCTGCACCAGGGCACCAGCTTAGGCCCAGCCTCAGCCCCAGTCCCAAGGTCACGCCAGCCATGTGGTCATTAGTATCGTGCCCCACGCACACAGACGCAGGAGAAATGAGTGAGCGCTGTGGCTCCCAGCCAGGGGCCCTCCCTGCTGCCCTGGCTGTCCCGGGCCAGCTCCGGGCCACACTCGGCAGTCCCATCCT